AAGCAAAACCAAATGAAAAAAAATTAAGACCTGACTACTCCTTTAAAAAAAAAAAAAAAAAAAAAAAAAGAAGGGAAGTTTTTAAATCCTTGCTTAATATCTCACACAGCAGACATTGAGGCAGAGATGTTATTTTAGCTGTCAACCCTTTGTGAAATATTTTTTTTATGTATATTTGCAATTATGAGCTAAATGTTAAGAGCACACTAATGCATGGAAAAGTAAGGGGAATGTGTGCCACATGCAAACATTGAATCCTGTTTCATTTTAGTTCTTACACTGAGCTTTTAAGATCCCTGACCTCATTCACTGACCACCTTGGAAGTTTGTAGAAAAAATGCATATTATAAAGACTGGGCATGCTATCTTAACTTGGCATTACCTGACATATGAGAGCTTAACTGGGCATTTTTAAAGATCTCAACATAATTTAATTTAATTTCCTATATTGACTTTTTAAAGGAAAATAAGTCAGTCAATCTAAAACAGGGGTCGGCAACATTCGGCATGCGGCTCACCAAGGTAAGCACCCTGGCGGGCCGGGACAGTTTATTTACCTGCTGACGCGGCAGGTTCGGCCGATCGCGGCCCCCCACTGGCCTTCCACCATATCCCAAATCAGGAGCTCAAGCCCTGTAGCTAGTTAAAAATTTCTTGCCATTTCTTGCCACTGTATGATGTATGAATACACCTCACCTCGATATAATGCGACCCAATATAACACGAATTCGGATACAACGCAGTAAAGCAGTGCGTCCGGGGGGGGGGGGGGGGCGGGGCTACGCACCCCAGTGGATCAAAGCAAGTTCAATATAACGCCGTTTCACCTATAACGCGGTAAGATTTTTTGGCTCCCGAGGACAGCATTATATCGAGGTAGAGGTGTATATCAGACCTACAGTAATACAATCCCACACCGCAACAATATTCTGTCATCTGCTTCTTGCAGAGCCAGGGGAAAGCACAGGTCACTCATTATACCTAAAATGCAGGGATTGTTTTACTACTCTCCCTAATAAACTGAGGAAGAGAACGGTGGTGCAGAAGAGGATAGTCTGACAGCCAAGAGGCCAAGGAAGGAGACACTATGTCAAATAGTTTCATGGGTGTACTCTTTCTGGGAGATACTTCTAGATTCCTAGTCACTAAGGATGTTCCATCTCGTGGACGTGCAAGCCTCACTCGAGGTTAAAGTTCCACTGTTCCAGCAGAGTTTAGCTGTGGTGGGAGGTCACAATTACACAAAGTGATGCAATCCCTTTGGTAACTTCACCCAGTCCCTTGGGGGCCTCAAAATTAGCATGATTAATATAGATTTTGATCCAATATTACACTGGAAGCCAATGAACAAGGGCAAAAAACCAAGAGGAGGAAATGCAATATAATAGAGATATTTGGGGTATTCAGCAAGACGTAAATACTGCAGATACTAGCACTAATAAATTTTTATTTGATTAATCCAATCCTGTTTGAATGAGTCTGTTTTTGCAAATACTATATTCAGGCTATTCTGAATCTTTCCTTCTCCATTAATACGTGTTTGATATGAGTGAAGCCAAGAACATTTTAATAAAACAGTAAGCATTCAAAATTTGTATACAGGGTTTGAACAATCCTGACAGAAGATGAGATTAAACTGTGTTTCAATGTGTAAGCCATGAGAACTTTGTCTTATCCAAAAAAAGCCACAGTTAACAAATCAAATGTTTTAGTTTATGTGATTTATATTTTAACACTTCAATTTTAATTAGTTAGCAAAGAAAATACAGAAGTATGCATAAATACTCACAGTAATAGTGTCCAAGAGCTTTGCCATATGTTTAATAATTTCACCATGGTGTGCGGGCTGTGTTTGTAGCAGTTTCTTAATGACAACTACACTTTCAGCAACTACTATTTCTGATAAAGACAAAAACAAGTTATAACTTTTTTTTAAGTGTTTATGCATATGGAATACAAATCACGTGCACCAAATTGTCAGCAACTGTTTCAAAACTGTAAATGAACTAACAAGTTTAACTGCAAAACTAATTTAATTTATAATAGTAGCATAAATGTGCAGATCTTTTATAAATCTAAAGACAGGCCCTGCTCCAACAAGCAAGTTATGATAGGAAAAAAAGAGGAGGAAGGATTGTGGTAACAAATAAAAGCATGTCCCATTATACACACTTCTTGAGGATTCCTTTTAATTAAGTTTTAATGTGTCTGTACTTAATTTTTTTATTTTTAAAATAAGTCATTATACAGACACAAATACCTATTCCACATAATTAAATTGTAGTATTTAATGGACTCTCAAAGAAATATAGGTTGTTCAGAAAATTGCCAGCTAATTCAACAAACAGTAAAAATAGCAAAACACTGCATTTGCACACTCCCCCGGTCCCCCATCCTCTCTCCCAAGTCCATAATCTAATCTCTAGTACATTCAAATGAGGATCCTAAATAGGCAAGCTGTTTGAAGATTTATGTCCAAGTCATGCACCAGAATGCTTAACTACTGTAACAAGTAACATTCACAGCCTGATCAACTTGTATGAAATATGCAGTTTTTGAAGCTGAAAACCCCTCATTGGTGCAGAGGTAGGCTTCTATGCAAGAATAAACTCATGTAAGGAAAGATGAAGGAAAGTCAAACATAGTCAAGGCTGAAACCAAAGCAATAAATAAATAAATAAATAAAGTAGACTGACTAATGTAACAGACGTTCACTATAATTCTAATTTTCATGTCCACTAGAAAAAGCAGACAATTATTTTTCCTCATACTGTACATGCACTTTGAAAACAATCATTGGGGAAAGGTAAACTTATATTTCCCCAAACAGATCACAACATCCTCGTATTTGAATAGTTAATCCAACACATGGACTGTTCATTTTCAATTTACATCAGTAATCAGAAAGAAAAGGAAAGATGTACAAAAGAAGAGTACTGAGGGAAAGAAATCCCTTAAATATTGCCATGGTCAACTAGAAATTAGAAGAGCTCACTGTGGTGGATTTTTGTTTTAAAAATTACAGCTGTAGCTATCCATGGATACCTCTTGAACCTCTGAAGAGTTTAAATTTTAGCGCCCAGTTTTATGTGTCATCCTCTATTTGACATGACAACTGAGTCATTTATCTAAACTAATTTCTTGAATAAGGTTAAGATTACATAATTAGAGACAAAAATCAAGGCTTACCGGCATGGAGACAGGAAGTTAATCCAAACTAACTAAAAAGTGTGAATTTAAAGTGGATCGAATTAAGCTAAACAGAATTAAGGCCACTTCCATTCTGAATGAAACTGTCCTAACAGGGATTTAATGCAATGTAAGTAATCTACTTTAAATTCACACCTTCAGTTAATACAGATTAATCTTCCTGAGAATCCCTTTGTAGAAAAAACCCTAAATTTCAAAATACATCTGTTCCACGGATGCCAAGGATTTACGCAATCCTACCATCGAGGTTATTTTGGAGAGTATTTTGCCCCCTTCACCATTGCCAAAAATTACAATGATAGAACAAGTAAAAAATAAAAAGTGTCAAACTTGTCAAGTGACAATTTTTCAACAAACCTGTAAGTAGTTTGGAGGGTTGAGGAGGGAAGAGAAACAGAATTCCCAAAAATAATCCTTGAAATGACATTTTTCCTTGAATGACACTTACTAGCGAGGGTAAATGAACAGCAAATTAAAACAAGGACTATCTAAAACCGTTTGTGGCTACATAATACAAAGTTTAAAGAGTAACTGCTTCCACAAAAGGGCCTGGTCAACACGGTGGGGGGGGGGGGAGGGCGGGAGGGGGAAATCAATCTAAGATACGCAACTTCAGCTACGAGAATAGCATAGCTGAAGTTGACGTATCTTAGATCGACTTAGAATCACTTACTTCGCGTCCTCGCGGCACAGGATCAACGGCCGCTGCTCCCCATCGACTCCGCTTCCGCCTCTCACCGTGGTGGAGTTCTGGAGTCGACGGCAGAGCAATCGGGGATCGACTTATCGCGTCTACACTAGACACGATAACCCGATCCCAGATAGATTGATCGCTACCCGCCAATCCGGCAGGTAGTATAGACGTACCCTACGAGTCCCAATCCTCCCTGCCATCTTCTGTATCAGTCAAGGATAATAGGCACAGCCCTTTGGCTCAGTGTTTGTAAGAATTTCAAGCACTGATAACATCTGATCTTTTTCTTTCCTATAATAAGTAATAAGATAAGGTCAAAATGCAAGCACAACTTTAAGTGTAGTGATATACACAGAACAGTAAAAACTACAGACCAATAAAATGAAAGTTAATTGATTATGCAGTGTGGTTTGTTAAAAAAGATTATACTATGTCAAACTAATAAAATCACGCTCAAAAGTCAAGTGTTTACACAAGAAAAGAAAACTAGTTTAAACCAAAACCTAACAACTAAGGTGGGTTCTAAGATATGCTTAAAAGTCTCAGGCATTGTGGAAATGTACATGATAAAGTGCATTGTAAGTTATGTACAAAGAAATGTATGAAATATCACTACAGGAACCACTTTGCAGAAGCAGTTAGGAGCAAGTAAGTGTATGTGATAGAAGGAGCAAGTTTGAAGTACTGAATTGGAAATATAAAGTAGATGAACTGGCATGATTCCAGTTAAAAGAATATAGCTACCACTAAAAATGTTAAATGTAAAGTACAAATGAGAGCAAAATAAATTAATATCAGAATACAATTGGAAGTAATCTAGAATAATAAACTGATGCACTGTGAAGTTTATTTTCTGAATGTGGAGGATTCAAAAACCACCAAGACATACTGGCAAATATATCAATACATTGGCAAAAAACCAACAGTTAGGTGGTTTAACATCTCAGAAGTGAAAATCAAGCAGAAACATCAGGATGAAAAGATATAATCTTATAAAATTAATACAAGGTTTGATGAGCATTAATCAAAACAAGGAAAGCTATATACAATTACGTATTCATCTGCCAGTCTACGAACAAAAATTAGGTAAAGTTCAAATACAGATTGAGCAACATGTAATGTAATGAAAGAATCAGAAGTAACAAAACTTCTAGACAGTTTAGACCAGGGGTCGGCAATGTTTAGCACGCGGCTCGCCAGGATAAGCACCCTGGCGGGCCG